CACTATCCTGACTTCTTGATGCAGAAATTTAACAGAGAAAAATTTTTCTTTTACCTACCCAACGTAGATCTTACTGGGTTGGCGATATGAGTTGGACTCCTGATAGCATTTTCTTGGCTTGCATGTTAAAAAGTGGATCTTTGATTTTGTTGACATGTATGGGTGAATTGCTGACTTTAACTACTTCTGGCTGCTCTGTAGAATTTGGACCAGCACAGTTTATTCCATTTCATCCACTAATAACATACAGGTAAAAGCGTTTGAAAATGTTTATGTTTCTGTCTTATGGTCATACCTTACTTTCTGTCATATTTATTGCTATTTTACATAAACTTAGTCTTTCAAATTCACTCTTTTGCTTTTCACATCTTCCCTGTATCTGTTTCTCATTCATAGTTCTCTTCTGTTTCTTATAATGGGTTTGTCGTGATGGAAATTGACATTGACAGTGTAAGTATACATCAAATGATTTGTTTTCTAGAAGTTTGACTTTATTAGTAATTAAAAATCAAAATACATGATGATGTAAGAAGAAATTAAACTTAGAGAAGTACTAAAAGTGCAAATTTATTTTACAGTGGTATTTCTCTGCTCATTATTTAATTATACCGATAGAAATTTATATCAAGTTTCCATATCAGATGTTGAAATTAACAAATTTGCATGGAGAAAAACTAATTAGCTTTTTAAATGTTCCTTTGGGGCTCTCCAGATGCAAATTTTGAGATATTGCTAGTGGCTGCATGAGAGAGTAGAAGGATCTCTAATAACACTCTTTAGCATAAACCAAAAGTTAAAAAAAATAGCACAGTCTAAATAAGTAGAGGAAACAAAACAGAATCTAAAGGTTTGTTTGGTTTTTTTTGTAAGAATCCTGTTAAGTTTGAATGACTTAAGCCAGATAGTGTGTAAATGCAAAGTCTCGCAGACATTCAAAGCATTAAAATACCTTCTTGCACTACCTGGTTGCAAAATCACATATTAAAATGCATGAATATGGTTATTTATTGAATGTATGCAGCTCTTTTGTTTTCAAATTATATTACTCTCTTTTTGGAAATAAAACTTTTCGGGAACTTTTAAAGAAATTTAAAAAACCCACAAACAATGTTTGTATATTTTGACACAATGTGTTATGAAGCTAATGTTAGAATACATGCACAACACACCTTTCTTGAGCTCTGTAAGAGGGATTTTTGTATAAGAAAAGACTTCATAAACCCTCTTTTGAAAGACAAGATTCATGTGTTTATGTAATTTTTCTGTTGAATATCTGAACTGATCCTGAAATCCTGAGATTCAAATCTTAAGGGATTTGTTCTTTTTCATATATGGCTTTCTTAGAAGTGACTTCAAATTTCATCTTGAAGCATTTGTAATATCAAATAAGGGCTAGATAAGAAAGTGTGATATAGAAATTTAAAGTCAAATTGTGAAAAAGTACATAACATTCTTACTACTGAAATAATGAATGGATACTGAAAGCTGTTTTTAATTTTATTTAAATTTAAAAAATTTGCAACTGCAGCGAAATACGGGCATCTTGCAAGCATAAATAGTGGTTATCCAGAGTGCTCATCCTGCAAAAATTTAGACACTTGCTTGGGATTCTGAAAGGACTTACTGGGGTAGTAGAATGCATGGTATTAAATATTCTTAAGTTATTTTTTCTTTATTTTGTTCATGGTTATTATGTATGATAGTTGCTTCTTAATTTTTGATGTATCTTTATTTTAGACAGCAACACTCTTTTTGTCAAGACTCTAGCCAGTCTCTTGGTTCTTCAGCTTCTGAACATGACCTCATGAGACAGAGATTCTCTGTTGCTTCACATTCAAGATTACCCTACCTCATTGTCTCTGATGGGTATATGATAACAGTGCTTAGATTTCCTAACAACTTTTCACCATCAGGATTTATAAGATCCCTTTTGCTTGATTCAGCCCAACAGCTTGAAAATATCCGTCGGAATTTGCTGAACTCCAAGGTAGGATTATGAATTATTCTGTAGGCTTTAAGTAAAAGAATTTTACATGTATGAAAGTGTATAAATTCCAAACCCAGTAAGTCAGTTTAGTTTACTGTGGTATTTGTATAAATTCCTTTGAATTATAAAGTTGTTTCAAGGTTAGTGTTGACCTACAAAACAATGAATGCACAGTTTTCCTAAAATTTTATTCCTTTGCAGTGCGTGTGATCTGCAATTTAAGTAAAATGTAGTGAGGGGGACAGTCTTAACTGTCACTATTATTTTTCTGGAACTGTAAAAGAAACGGGGAATGTAGAAGTCCATCTGTAGAGTTGGTTCAGATGATTCGCAGGCGTTGCACTGCTCTGGCCAACTCATTCTTTCGGAATGGTGCAGAATAGAGTCTGTAAATGCTACATCTTGGGCTGCTGTTCTTTTAGAACAGTTAGCAGCAGTCCCAGTGGTGTGCATGTGTCCACAGGATCCTCAATTGAGGCTGACAGTTAAAGCTTGCTTAAAGCATTTTCATTTATGTTTCTGTCACTTCTAAATTGAGAAAGGAAACATTTGAAGGAAGAGGTACTGCAACTGTTTACAGCCACGTGAGTTGTAATATCTAGTTAGTTCTGACATTTTGGATTTGCTGATGGAATACAACTTCTCTTCCAATTCAGTTTCCATTTTGTATTTTTGGAGAAGTGAGTTATCATCATGCAAAAGCTAAAAGAGGGAGCAGGGATTTGAGGATTTAAGGAAATATATTACTAGTAAGAATGCAAGAAAACCCTGCATAAAGGCAAACTTCTGGGGCCTATTCAGGGGTCAAGAAAGCAGGTTCTTTCAGTATGAAGCAAATTCAAGTTGTCTGGTGCTGAGAGAGTTCTGCATTCCCAAACGGTTCAATGATAGTTTGTTTCTGTGTGGCAGATACTTGCTGACCTGTTTTCCCTTTCTGTATGGGGCTTCTGAACTGGAGCTTTTTGCAGAAGTAACCAGTTAACCTGATTTGTTTAGAAAGTGTCTGTATTGCTAGAGAGACTGATAATGTGTTTTCTGTTATTGTTATTTCTTTCAGTCTGTAGTGAAATCTCGGTGTTTACGATCACTGTTGTCCTTAAAAGCTAGTCTTTTAAAACAAGTTCAAAACCAAAGTTCCATCTTTTCCACAATTCCAAAATTCCTGGAAGAGAACACAACAGAAATGAGTGAGAAAACCATGGATTTACAGGTACTTATTAGTGTTTTTCCAGTTCTAATTGAGAAATGATTTAATTTTAAGGTATTCTAAATGGAATGGAAAGTATTTTTTTTCAAATAATACAGGTATGTTTGGAGTAATTCAATATTGGTTAAAGTCTCATTTTCCTTATGGGTGTGAGGAATGAGCTTATTTTTTTCAACTGATACTTGATTTTTATTTTGAAATGTCTTCTTTCAGCAGTGCATTAACTTTTTGGAGAATATGTGCTAATCTGCATATACATCAGTTGTTAATAGAATCATAGAATCATAGGGTTGGAAGGGACCTTAAAGATCATCTAATTCCAGCCCCCCTACCATGGGCAGGGACACCTTCCACTAGACCAGGTTGCCCAGAGCCTCATTCAGCCTGACCTTGGACACTTACAGGGATAGGACAGCTTATCTGGGCAAGTTCTTTCAGAGTAAAGAATTTCTGGCTAGTATCTAATCTAAACCTGCCCTCTTAAAGTTTAAAACCATTCCCCCTTGTCCTGTCACTGTATGTCCCTGTAAATTGTCCTGCTCCATCTTTTTGGTAGCCCCTTTAGGTACTGGAAGGTGCTATGAGGTCTCCTTGGAGACATAGTACTTTAGCTTCTCTTTATAATAAAATCTAAGATTACCCTATTAGATATATTGGGGCTCTAGAGTTTATTAATAATAACATTGTTAGCCGTAGTAAATGAGGTAGTTATCTTTATCCTCAGTTTCAGAGAATTCTTCCATCAATTCCAACATTTGTATGTGTCTTTTGGAAGAGTGACCCTGTGATCAAAGTTATTGTGCAGCCTTTCCCAGCACCATTTCATGCTTTTGGTTTCTGGTTTGTTCGTTGAAGCTTTTATTGAATGGTTTTTCTACCTTGCACCTATCTAGCAATAACTCTTCCTCATACACTAGGTTTAGTGAAGGACAGGGCTTCACTTTCTGGTATAAAATCTACTGCTGTGTTGGCAGTGTAATTTTGTTGTTGTTTAGGTAATTTAATTTCTGCCTACTCAGCTACTGCAAATAATCACATTTAATTCATCAAGATGAAACTGCTGTGAATTAAACTTACTAGCACTGAAGCAAGTTTATTAAGCTTAAAGATTTTATTTCTGAGACTGACTAAATAGTGATTTGTTGCAGAGTAAGAAACTTGAATTCTCAATAAACTTGAATTAAACTGTTAATCTTTTTCGTCTGGTTTAGGATTATGAAGATGAATCAGATGATGAAAAGCAGTTTTGCAATAGCCCTTCCAGCTTCTGTAACCAAAGAACCCGTTCATTTGTTGGTAAAGCTGATCAAGGCCACTTAGAATTTGCATCAATGTTTGATGCTATCCATGCAGAAGATGATACTGAAGAGAAAGATAAATCATCATTGGAACTATGCTCCATTCAGAAAAACCTCCTTGCTGCATGGCAGATAGGGGTTTCAAAAAGTATGGAAGAGAAAGATACATTACTGAATTACACAGTGAACTGCATTATCCATTTATTCAGCATTGTTCATTTTGTGAAATGTTCTTTGCTAAACCAGGAAACATCTTTAAACAAGTCTGTGAAGGATGCTCAATGGATGCATTGTGTCCTCAAGTATTTTCAGCAATGTTTGACTGTCTTGTGCTGGCATTCAAGAGCCAGTCTGACTGGGCATGTGACAAAGCTGACATTAGAAACTTTAAGACTGATGCTTATGCAGCAACAAGATCAGTTGTTCTCAAAAAACCTTTTGGCATGCTTCTGTCTTTTGAAAATGGTTTCTCAAACTCTAAGTAATGTGTGTGTGCTACAATATGAGAATTTTTTTGCATCTCCTGATGGTAACATTCCCGTGGAACTTGACTCCCTCACTATGCCTGTTTTCTTAATTCTTGATGACAACACTACTCAGCAATTCAGCTTACTGAAATCTCTGCTTAAAGAGCCTCCTCAAGTAAACCATGACGCAAAAACAGAAAAAAGGTATGAATGATTTTGCACGGGGTAGGGAAAATATACAGGACAGCCAGGGGATCAGGCCCAGCCAACATGTGTTTGTAAAGGGTTATTGGGAAAAACAGAAGGACATGGTTTAGGGGTAGATTTGGCTGTTTTCATGGTAGGACTCAATGATCTTAAGGGTATTTTCCAGCCCAAATAATTCTGTATGTTGGAACAAAAATTTTATCAGCTAGAACATAATTGCAACATCCTTTTGGGTTTTTTTCTGCCTTGTACTCCATGGTAAAACATGATAGTCTATCAAAGCAAGTAGACTGAGGCTTAGGGCTGTAGTTGATTATAGTTCATTTATGGTGCCTGAACTAATTACTGCAAGTGAGTTCAGAGATACCGGATGGGTTGACAGCTCACACAGGGTGTGATAGTGCAGCATCAGTCCAGGTATTGCAACTTCAGAAGCTTTAACTGTGCCTTGTGCATTTCAGTCCTTCCCAGTTCCAAACTCCATGGAGCAAGAGTCTGCTCATGTGCAATATATCTACAATGTCAGTTTAGTCACCAAAGTTTGTATTGACTATGGATCTGGTGTCCCAGAACAGTAAGAAAAACCCCTGTTTGTGGAAACTTGTTAAGCTCTTGGAGCTATTTCTTCTTGGAAGATGTACACATAAATTTAAAAGATGCTTAAACTGAAGTGTGCTATCCAGCTATTCGAAAAGTATATTATTATCACGAGTATTTCTCTGCTGCAGAACTCAAATGAATCCAAGTCTGTTAATCATATGAGCAGGCTTTTCCTTTCCAGAGATTTAGAACCTAAGAAGCATTATAACTCAGAAATTGAATCCTACTACAGTAAAATGTGTTTCTTCAATAATACTACAGTGTAATACTGTGTTCATTGTAAATCTGATAGGCAATGGAAGGGGATCCATGTGTTCGTTTAACTGTGCTGCAGGTACTGAGCACTGTGCATATGACTGACTATGTAGGTTCTAATTACGGAAGCAGCAGTACTTAAGCAGAAGATGCAGGTGTGTTGCACTTCTGTGCAAGATCTTTCAAGTCCCTAACAATGTTCGTTCACTCATATTGTCAAGCTTACTATGTATCTGAGCTGGTATATCTAATAGGACTGTGCTGGAGCAACAGGGGCTCACCAGCCCTAGGAACATGCTCTGCAGTCTTGTTTTCCTGTCTTTGCTTTTCTGTGTTATGCTTAATTGTATTTTAATCAGTTTTGTTTATAAAGATACCTGTTTTGAGGTTTCTCTGAGATTATTTCATTTCCCCATTGTTTAGCCAGCAAGGGGATTCATTTTGGGGAGGTGTGGGTGCTTAGAGTAGATTGCTGTGCCTAAGCAAATTCAGAAAAATCAATGTTTGTTGGTCAAAAAGAAGGCAAAAGGTGTTTCATTTTTCCCTTTCACTAAAGACTAGAAAGTAGTTAATATTTGTCATGTACATAATGCAAGAAGGTAAGAAATTAATGGGAGTAACTTTGTTAATTCTTGCTTAATTTCATAATATTGTACTTCTTGACTACAGGTTGATTGTACTATGGCGATTATTGTATAAGAAAGTGGTTTGGTATCAGGTGCAGCTGAAAAGAAAAGTGAACAAGAATGCAGAAGAAGCCTTTGTTGTCTCGTTGCTTTTAAGTCATATACAAGCAACCCTCCAGTCTTCACGAGTGACATTAGAACAACATCTGAAGATCAATTCTGTATCCGGTTAGTACAAATGTTAGGTAGCTGCATAGTTAACTTAATGCTAGGAAAATTAGGTCCAACATGGTGACAATCAATAACTGACTACCAGATTTTTTACAAGTTAATTGTGGGACTTCTCGTAAAATATTCTTCCCAGAAGTCTGTCTTCAGTACCTAATGTCCTGGTACATCTGTAGATTGTATTATAATCTTTAGAGCTTGCTGTGCTAAATTAAAAGACTCTATTGTCTTTAGTTTGCTTTGAGCCATGTCCTGAAAAATCTTGAGTGCAAGATTTGAGTTCTGATCTCCTATGTACCATGTTATTTCCTCTGAAGTAAAAGAGCATCACAATGTGTCTCTTGCTGAATTTCATGGTAGAAACCTTGTTCACTCCTTGAAGGCATTGTGGGCATGAGCATAATGTGTACACAAATGTAGTTAGCCTCAACTGACCGTCTAAATTAGTGTAATCTAAGGTAGTAGACTTAATCTAGCATATTTATTTTGCAAACCGTATAAAGATGTAGTCTAATTTCTTACACATTGCTGTCTTATGTTCTGCCTTCCTATTGACTTCTACACTGCTAAGCCCAGCTTCCCATTTATGTCTCCCACCACAATTCTGTTTCCTCTCCATATTCTTGATCTTTCTCCCTTAAATGATACTTCTAGCTTCTCTTTCTTTATCACTCCTGCAAGACATTAGCTCCTTCTGGAGAGAAGCTAATAGCTGTTCTGGGGAGAGGTATTTCAAGTCATCTTCTCTCAGATACTCAAAACTTAGATTTAACTGTGGGAATAGAAATTTTCTGAAGACTCACATATTTTGCTCTGGTTTTCATAAATCTCCAATACAAAAGTAAGTGCATGTGTGTTTGCGCACGTAACAGTAACTATGTAGAGCTTTTCATTTGTTACATATGTGACTTTTATAGGTGAGGAACAGTTCCTTTTAGGGTCATACAGAGAATCTGTGAACATTTGGAAGAGAGATCTCTGTGAAATCAAGGCAAAAGGTAAGAGAGAAAATCTTTTTGGGGATGGGCAGGGTAAGTTGTATAATCACTTTACATAGTTCTTTCTGCCCCTGTTTGGCCTTCAGAAAAGGAGGGGCAGGACACGATGAAATGGACACATGTATTTTGTTGTTATTTTTTGTTATTTGACTGCATACTCTGTGTTATATGCTGTCTTGGGATTTGAATAGAGATCAGTCAAAAAAGTTTGGTAGTTCTCTTGAGAAAGTTCCTCGCATCTCTATTTTAATATCAGAGATTCTTTGTGACTAAGTACTTGGAACAGAAAAGCTCTAGATACATTTGTGAGTAAGAAAGAGGCAATTAAAAACAGGTGACCAAAAATCAATTACTTTAGTATCTGCAAAATGAAAATAGTGTTTAGAAAGTAGCAAAATAAGAAAACTTGTGGCAGGAGTTTTTGCAGGAGTTGATTTGAAACAGATATTGGAGTCTCTTTCCAGGCATTGTGAGAAAGGTTTTTGCTTGTTATTATGATGATGAATACCTCATTGAGGAAAAAATTAAAATACTGGAAGCTTGATGGATGTCTAAGCAATTTCATTGTGTTTTAAGCATTCCTTCTTTGAAGGCTCCCTTAAGCTCTCGTGTCTCTGTGTCTAAACAGTTGTGTCTAAACAATACTCAGTATTGTTTTGGAAGCTGCCATATCTCTAGAAATAACGAAGTTAGGAATGAGCATTTACTTAGTCGTAACTTAGAGGTGGTAGAAGGATCATATCCTAAAATGGCTGCTCTTGATTCCTACTCCTCAGAGTGTATGTGTATGTAGATATGTTTCTGGAGAGGACAGAACTAGTATTTTCATTTATTGCCTCTGGTTTTATGTTTGTTGTTTCTTATCCAACTGCACTTCTGCCCTCTTTTTTTTCTCTTTTAATGTAGGAGGGAAAAGAACATGTTTTCTTCAGAGTAGATATTATCTTGCAATATTGTTTTGCCATCTGTATCAGTATAACTTGTGTGAGGCTCAGGGACTCTGTGATCATCTGGTGGGCGAGATTCTAAGGCGGTCACAGCTCTCAACAAGTGAGATGGAAAAATTTTCTGGTATGTTTATATTGCCAAAAAATGTGATAAGACATGTTGATACTGTTTGAATAACCTAGTGTTTAATTTCTACACCATCACACACACACTTGACTGCATGATTTTCTTTTTACACCGGACTGAAATCTGTTTACAGTGACTTTAAAGATCTTTTTCTGATCCTAAGATGACCTTTCAGCTACACTGTTGGAATATGTGTTTGGACAATTTTAATTGTATAATTAATGTAATGATTTTATCAATAGTGAAAGCATGGCCTGTAAAATATTTTTAGACACAAATCTGCACAAGGAAAGACTTTGGATAATAAAAATAAAGGAAAAACAATGTGATTTGATTTTATATTCAACTTCTTTTTATGGTGCAATACAATAAAATAGTGGGTTAGTTTTGGTCACCAGTCCTAAATTGACAGTGGGATGGTTTTGCAGATGCTATAAATTTTATTTCTATGAAGTCTGAATCTAAGTGAAAACTAAATTTCCAAACTTAAACAAATGGTTTTTTGACTCGGTGCTAGTCTGACTTTAGGTGCTAGAGGTCCATCTCCAGTCATTAAAGATCTAGTATAAAAGTCTTTTAATATAAAGTTTAATTAGTGTAAAAGTTTAAGATCTCTAGGTTCTGAAAGCTTGTCAAGAAATTAACTAAATTTGCTGGTTTTAAAAAAGTGTTGACTAAACTGTGATTAAACAGTTTTAGCATTCAGATTTTAGCATTCAAATTTGAAACAATTTTCCTCGTAGTGTTTTAATTTGTGTTTCTTAGATACTAAGTATTTTCAGCATGAACTCTGGATGGTAACCAGCATTCATACTGACGCTGCCATGGCTGTGATTCGATCCATGGCACGATTCATGGCTGCTTATTTCACAAATCAGCTGCTCTACATCTTTCCCCCACACAGTGTTGGCATCCTGCACCCACTTCACATCAAACAAGGTATTCTCTCTAAAAACAGTTTAATTTGCTTAAATCTTATAATTATTTACATGTATATCAATGCTGTCTGTTATGCTTTTACTTGATGGTCTACTTCGCTTTTCTGTGGAGTACAGTGTAGAAAAAACCCAAAAGGATGTTGAAATAAGGAGCTATTCTTTCTCAAAAAAGCATTTTAGCTTTCTGCCTTCTGTAGCAAGCAGCACAGTGAATGCAAACAACACAGGTATGCTAGGGAAACTGCGAGAATTTCCATTTATCTCTGGTGTACCCTCTGATACATCCTGTACATGTGTAGCATGCTTGCAAGTGGTCCATCAGTGTGATTAAGTCCTTAAATTAAGAAAACCCACAAGTTTTGCACTTGCATATCCCACATTAATAAGCAGAAAAATAGCCTGTTCTGAACTCACTGTTATACCATAGCATGAGCTGCATCTGCCTGCTGAGATAACTTTGTAGTGTGTCTTTAATAAAATTAATCCAAAAAGCAATGTGAACAAATTATTTCTGATTATTCAGCTGATAGCATGCAGATTTAGTTAAACTTTATAATCTTGGCGTTTTTTGTATCACAGGCTTATCTCCTCGTGTTATTCCACTGCAACACTCTTTGGTTACCAGAGCTGTCAGGGACCAGAACCTTTCATCTGTGTGGACAGCTGAATATACTCTTGATTTGTTCTTTATTGGTGGACTCATTCCAGAGGCTGTGTGGTTAGCACACACACTCGGGGATTGGAAACTCTCTGTTTCAGTTGGCGTGGCCTACCAGCTGTATTGTCAGAACTCTGATGAATTCTCAAGGTAAATCTGAGCTTGGAATTGCTATACTATATTTTGTTACTAGTCATTTGAATTAATATTATTGTAGCAAGTTATATCCTTTGCATCAGAAATTCATGTTCCAAAGTTCCTGGTAGGTGTAGGAGTTAACATGTTATGGCTTAGATATGTTTTGGCTTAGATATTTATTTACTAGGCCTTCATTGAATTACATATGGATATTACTTTGTTACTCATGAGCAGTTTCTTGTTATACTTTCAGACTGAAAAACACAGAGCATCACCTGCCATTAAGCTTATCACCAATGCAGACTTTTCAGGAAAAGTTACAGTCTTTGTTAGGACAGCCAGTAACTTCGGAAACATCAGAACACATTAAATACAAGAAATTTACAGGTACTTGAAATGAAAAATAATTGTTATTTTTTATGTTATTTGACCAAATACTCTGCCGGGGAGGTTTATTTTTGATATTAGGAAGAGATTTTTTATGGAGAGAGTAGTCAGGCATTGGAATGGAATGGGCCACACACACACACACACACACACACACACACACACACACACACACACACACACACACACACACACACACACACACACACACACACACACACACACACACACACACACACACACACACACACACACACACACACACACACACACACACACACACACACACACACACACACACACACACACACACACACACACACACACACACACACACACGTGCACAACACCTATATACAGCTGGCCACACATCAGCACCTACAGACGACATGCTCAGCACTCACACAGCACCAACAATTCTATCGTGGTTCCCTCTCCTACGAGTCAGAGCGGATGACTGCATATAGATACCTGTTTGTACCATGTAGATCCTTCTGGTAGCTGGGCAGTAGACCCAGTAGCTGTGTATCCCAGGTTGTTTATGTCTGCATATGTGAGCCTCCAGAGCCCAGTCCCACTCCATCTTTTGGTATAGACCCACTGCCACATAGGCTCTTACCCCCATGCACACACTGTCCATGCACCCCCACAGTATCTGGCCTTCAATATACAGTCCATCCAGTAGAGAGCTCCTCTGGGTTTCTCAGTCTGACCAGGTGCCTCACCCTTAGAGATACCTCATCCATCTATGGTGAGGTGTCTTTAAGCTGTGGATACATTGTCTTTCTGGCAGGTAGTCACAACTCCCTGGAACTCTACAGTGTCCAGATCCCCTTGTCTTGTCCTTAGAGACATGAAAACACACAAGCAGGTCTCCCAGTTGTCTCTCTGACCATTGACCAGACCTTCACTAGTCCCTCTAGTCACTGTTGGCTTCTATGGTCGCACTCTTGTGCCCCTGTTCCCAGGACGTTTCACTTAACTTGTTGGTTAGTCTGGCTTGATATTTACTGGCACTCATGCATGGACTTACATAGCCTCACTTCCTCCACTTACTGGTCCCATTACAGTTGCTGGCACTTGACATTACTTTACTCCAGCCTCTGCAGTTGTAGTAATCTCAGATACAGGCTTTCTGACCTGTGCTCCCCTCCATCTCTTGTCACTTAAAATACTATTCACAGGCACACAGAACAGAGTCCTTCACATAGGAAAAGGCACAGGGCCCAGTGAAGGTGAGGCTGCCACCACTCCGTGCCATATCTTTGGTTTCTTTCCTAAAGATTCCATCATTAGCTTTGTGTGATTCCAAAACACTCTTCCTCTGCATCCTGTAGTATGTCTTGTCCTTCTTGATAGTAACCTCTCTCAAGCCAAAAGATACTGAAGGATGCCATTCTAATTGACTCATCCTAAGGGTTTCATAACTGGACTCTGGGGCTGATGGCTCTCCTGGGAAGAGCCCGGACAGGTGTCCATTTCTCTGAGTACGTAATTTGCTGTTGTGCAACTCTGGATTTGTGGAGATAAGCTTTTCATGGGTTGATTTTTCTACTCTTAAATAGTCTAGGTACTATTCATTCTCTGTGTACCTTTGTATGGGTATATATGAGCTTTTTGTCATATAACCTAACTTAGTTCTTGACTGCTGAAATTCACACAATTAGCTATTGTGTCCTTAATGAATTTCACAGAAGGTTTACTGCCACAATCTCTATTTCTTAGTCTCTTTTTGTGTGTTTGAAAACCTCATTTCAAGTTCCTGTCAGCAGGTGGATGTAAATTAGTCTATCTAAGCAACATTCCCAACACTGTGTAAATTCTTCTTTTGATCTCATTTCCAAGGATTTTATTTCAAAGACACACACAAATATATACATGCTGTATTTGAGAGTCTGTATATATAATAAGTAGTGGAAAGATGTGACAGCATATACTTCAAGACAAGCAGGAGTAGTAGAAATGCAAGTAGAACAGTATAATACTATGTGAGTTTCACAAACCAGTTGATAATTATGTTAAATGCCCTGCTACCTCTAGGAGATGAGGAAAACATGTACTAGTATGTAAAGGTGATCAAACAAATACGTTTCCTTTCCTTGATCTCTGTGCTTTTTGGTAATGGTTGTTTTAGTCATTATTAATGGTGTACCTCATTTATGCCTGCCTAGTAAGAATGATTTGCCAGAATTTTATGCCAAGCAAATGCCTGGCTAGAAAGTGGAGTTCTCTATCTAGAAAGGCAGTAGCTTCCCCATTAATGGGGCAAAACTTAAAATTAATGATTGAATACTACTTGCAAGTGTGAGAGATCTTAAAGCAAGTAGATGAGATATATTGTTGTAATACATGAATGCAAACTCTGAGAACATAACCTCGTAATGTCAGAATGAAGTCCCATGCATTGAGTCAATTAATTTACCAGCTTCTGAATGTAATATTTTATAGATCCCATTGAAGAGGAAGATGCAAACGTTCTTTATAGTTCAGTACAGGAACTACTGAAAGCAGCTGTTATGGCAGATGCTGATATTCTCTCAGAGACATTTCGGCTTTTGATGGATTCTGCCAAGGATCTTAGCAGAAAATTGCATGGTTTGGTTCCTGTGGGACTGTATCTTCCAGCACCACCATTATACTGTCCTCAGCCAACTTTTCTCAGTGAAGTAAGTGTGAGTGATGGAAGTTTCTTGGGTCTTTGTTTGAATGTATTTATGAACTAATTATGATCTTTATTCTGGTTCCTTTCAGCTAGTTTTTCTGTTTGTTTTTTTTTTTAACATGTCCATTCATTTAATTTAGACAAAGGCGCCACAGTGAAACGAAAGGCTGTGTACCTTTGGTTTTGCCAATCTGTTCTGTAAAGAAAGGAAATAATTTTAGGAGCAGAAACAACACTTAGGTGTATGTCTTTCCTAATTGCAGGGTTGGCTTGTTTTTGCATTTTTCAGGAAAATGGCAATGACATTCTTTTAAAAATGGAGAGAGAAATTCGTCAGAAAGTGTCGGGAGTTCTTCAGCGAATTATCCTGCTTTTCCGGGCTGCTCATTGTTCTTGTCCTGCAGCACAGTGGTATATTAGGCAACTGAAGTGGGCAAGAAAAGTTATGCAGAAAGTAAGCATTGAACTTGGTTTTTTTGTAACATGATTATCAGTTGTAAATATTACTGACAAGCTTGCAGTTACTTTGCAGAGGCTTTCAGTCTTGTCTGGACTTTGATGTCATGTTCTTTACATGTTGTCTTCTAGTTCTACATTCCATGTTCAGTTTTATTAGGCATCCAAAACTTACGGATCGAGGGTATCTAATTCATAAAGTGTTTCCTTCTATACGTCTTCTATACTTACTTGATAATGTATGAATTTATTTATTTCTTCATTTGAAAGAAACAAGCAGACTTCAATTGGGAATCATAGCTGTTAGCTGGAAGTATGTTCCTGATCACTTAAATATGTAGCAGAAGGTAATGCTCACTCCATGGTCATCTTAGTGAACAGAACTTAGAAGACCTCATTCTACCTTTCTGTAATTTGTTGGCACAGAAGCAAGTTCAGAATATATTGATTAAAGATTTTTGTATGAAGTCAGACTTTCCTTAGGTCATTGTTACACAGCTACTTAAAGAAGATTGACTTGCTACAGAGGGGAATGTGTGTGACTGTCTCCCTTCCCTCAACGTGCCCTGCATCAGCATTATTGCAGTGATCCAGATCAGGAACTGGTCTGACTGACAAATACTTCTGTTTGCTCACTGCATGGTCACATGTGCTTAGTGCTGGCATGGGGAGGTGATCAGACATGTCAACTGAAACTGGAGGGAAAACTAATCTGACCTGGCAACAGCAACCTGGACTGTGCTGGATTAATCTGGTTTCTTGATTGTGATCTCTTGATTGTGAACTCTTGTGTTTTGTGGTAATCGTGACTATCATGAGTACCATTCAAACGAAAGCATTTTTTGTGCCGTAGCTCATACTAAACATATTCCTTTAAATGAATTTTCAGAATAGTGATTTGAAGAAAATTGAAAGCCATCTTAAGGGAATTTTACTGATCTTGGCAGTATTCTGCTGTTAACTGAGAGGCCGTGCATTTAGTAGTGTTACATATAAAACTTTAACTGGTTTTTATTTCCATTGTGATTGTTTGTTTGTTTATTTATTTGTTTTTGCTATCTATAGATTCGAGTGAAAGGATCTCTTCCTTCACTGGGTCCATTCCCAGAGACTTTGCTTAGTTACTCCAATTTCCACACTATTTTCTATAGATCTGCATCTTCTGAAGACAATCGTTTCGATGATATTACCTGTAAAATTTTAGGTCTGTATGCACTAACATAGAATAATTTAAGGCTGCAAAAAAGAACACAGGTTAAATTGCACAGGTGCAAAGAGCTCTTATTAACTTGCAAGTGTACAGAAACATGTTCCTTTACCAGCTGTAGTTATGAAAACTCTTAATCTGAAATGTGCTCTTCTGGATTGGGTGTGGGGGTGCATGTTACAGATCTGACAGATGCAAAAAGAAGTGGGACTAAAGAGCTCTAGCTGCAGAGCACTACTGAAAAATCAAGAATGAGTAATTTTTTTCTTTAAAACTACTGTTAGGGTAGTGTTAATTCCTTTTTTTTCTAGTTAAAAGTCTCAAGCTGTTCTAATTTATTTATTTAAATAGAATCTCACCTTATTGCATGTTTGTGTTATAGGTTGGTTCAGAGAGCTGTGTGCATTATGTTGGATGTTTCATGTTCGTGAGAAATTATCTGACAGTTGTAGGAGGTACCAAGCTGCAAGGGAAAATACTAACAATACAAAGGTAATTGTATTACTAATAAAGTGAGAAGAATTTCAGAGATCTGCCTGTATACTTCTGTGAGAACTTTTATTTGCTTAACAGAGCAAAATGAGCACAGTGCTACAGTGTGAAAGAAGTATTGGATGATGCAGAATAGTGCTGTCCATGTGACCTCCCATGTTTCTAACAGTTATCTCTCTTGGGCTTTTGCTTGGTATTTAGCTCAAATAATGGAAGAAATGCTGCCAGAAGAGCAATAGTTTCTACATTTGCTGTAGTTTCTACATTTCTTAGGCTGGTTTAAAAAAACCCTTTTCTTTTGTTCTTTCGTTCTTTGTTCGTTCTTTCATTCTTATTGTACATTATGATCTGTTACAACCCCTGGCATTGTGCACGTCTCTGTTTGGCAGTTAAGTCAGAGATTTTTATTTTCCAACGGCTAGGGAGGAACCATTACAATTTCCAATGTATGAATAATTTTGCTGAAATATATTGTTCATATCAATGAATGTTTCTGGTGGGTTTTTTAGGATCTGCAGAAGAGTGAATATGATGCCTCCACAGTTGAACATTGTCTGAATGCAGTGGAGTGGGCTTGTCGAATGCTTCCTTTCTGCAGGTTCATGAATGCTGAAGAATTAGTTCAAGATGTAATTTTGAGTCTTCTTGGAGAATTGCCACCAGTGAAAAAGGTAAAATTAACACAATACAGATTATCATGAATGTTTCTTCGCCTTGGAGAAGTGTGTAAGTTCGGTGGAAAATGATACCTTACCTGTATGTTAGCTACTGGAAAAGTTGTGAGTTAATGCATCCTGGGGTGCATGAGGCAAGGCATCGCCAGCTGGTTGAGGGGAGCGATTGTCCTGCTCTACTCTGCACTGGTGCAGCCTCACCTTAAATATCTGTGCAGTTTTGAGCACCACAATACGAAAAGGATTCAAAGCTATTAGAGACTGTCTAAATGAGGGCAGTGAAGATGGTGAAGGGCCATGAGAGGAAGCCATATGAGGAGGGGCTGAGGTCACTTGTGTGTTCAGCTTGGAGAAGAGAAGACTGAAGGGACTTCACTGTATACAACTTCCTCAAGAGGGGAAATGGAGGGGCAGGCACTGACCTTTTCTTTCTGGCAACCAGTGACAGGATGCGAGGGAATGGCTTGAAGCTGTGTCAGGGTAGATTTAATTTGTGTATTAGAAAAAGGTTTGACTCTCAGAGAGTGATTGGGCGCTGGAACAGGCTCCCCAGAAAAGTAGTCACAGCACCAAGCCTGACAAGTTCAAGAAGCATTTGGACAATGCTTTCAGGCACATGGTGTGATTCTTGGGGATGTCCTGTACTGGGCCAGGAGTTGGACTTGATGATCTTTGGGGTTGCCTTCCAGCTTTGAATATTCTGTGCTTCTGTGTTTATTTTGTGCAGGTGGCAGAGATTTTTGCTAAAGCATTTCCTAATCCTGAAGATATAAGGGTGCCACTAAGAGAGAAATATCATGGGCTTCAGCAGCGACTCAGAAACAGTATTGTTAAAGGTAATGTTCATCCTTCTTCAGGAAATATTAAGCGAACTTTCTTTTTTACCCTACTTATTAATGTGTGACAATACCTTCTTTCATCCCTCTTGTAAAACAATTATTGTAGTTTTTAGTTAGACAACTTTCAGTTTTGTGACAAATTTTGTATTTTCTTTCAGTTATGGCTATACCAATTACAGTGTGTCATAGTTTTCAGGTTGTTTCTTCACTTTATCACAGTTTCTGTCTGTATTTCTAAATGGCTGTAATTTATGATGTCCCAATTTGAGAGACTAATTGAAAACTGAAGATTGAAAACTTGGTTTTCTTTCTTTCAGTAGGTCCTGAAAGTGAAGAAATGATGTCTGCTGTTATACAGACTGCTGAAAAAGTGAGAATGAAGACCTTGAAATGTGTAACAAAGAACATAGGCCCTGTAGAAATTAATATTTGGGAGCCAGCAGAAGAGAGAGCAGCAGATGATGAAGAACACTGTTATGACAGATTCTCAGTAGGCACTAGTCTAAGCACAAGCACACTTACTGATCTTGGGAATCCTCAGATATCTAGTGATGCTGACACAGCAGATACAATTTCTGATGCTTTGTTTACTGAAGAAGCAAGAACTCAAGTGCCTTCATTCCAAAGGTATGAAAAAAATGGCAGCAGAAAGCTTTCAATTTAAATTAGGGGGGAAAAAAAGGAAAGAAAAGTTGTCTCTTGCTGATCAAGTAATCTTTTCACCAAACAGGGTAATTGTCACTTTGGGTGATTTATCAAGTGAAGAATTACAAACTTACCATGTCTTAGAACTGTCAATTTTTTTGTAAGTTGGTATGTGACTAATATGCTAGTGAGGTGTAAATTGTTATCATCTATGTCCATCCATCCATTACTGCCTAGTTTCTGTCTGTGTAAAAACCACAGATTTTGCTTTTGATTAATTAGCCACCTTAACATTGTAGTAATGTAGTAATGTAGTAATGTAAATTTGAGGTTGTTAGTTTATCATTTTTAACAATAAAGGAAGAAAAGAAAGTTGTATTTAGTTAGTTTTTCATGTAATTCTTCTTAAAATGGATTTTGGTGTTAACAATTCTTACGTTTGTTGTCTTACAGGGGTCATGAATACCAGAGACAAGGGGAAATAGGTAGCAAAAATACCACACCCAAGATAAAGTCTCTTGACAGTAAAGGAAAACATAAAGACAATGTATATAAAAAAGACATTCAGAATCAGCATAATTTGCCTGTAGTTGGTACATGGGAATTTGAACGTGATGATGATGAATATGTTAAATTTCTAGAACTCTTTTTGAGTTATATTCTCGAGAAGGACCTGATAAACTACAGTGACTCTGGAATTCCATTTCTTACTAGCTTTTCTGGACTTCTTCGAGAGCGTGAATTGAACTCTCTGTTTTTTGATGTCCATACAACACTAAAACGTCGGCAAGGCAAAACTAGAAGCCAAAATGTGTTTACAGCAGGGTCGTGCTATACTGTCTCCCTGGAATCTTGTGATGCTGAAACAACATCTGTCTACAATGAAAACCAAAATGTTTTGGCAAAACCAACCATTGTACGGACAGCAGAACCTTCAGTGCATAACCTAATGAAAGGACTTCATGAAGGATTATTTGGCTTAAAGTACAAGTCAATTTACAGAGCTCAATCTGACAATCAAGGAGTCACTGTTGCACTAGCAAGCCAGGCCTTTCCTTACCATACTTCCTGTAGCCTGCAAACTCAGGCAAATTCTAAATACTTTTACAAAACTGTTGATGTAGTTGATACTGTACCAGGAAAAGAACTGGCTATAGACTTGATGGGCGAGTTGAGCAATATTGCAAAATTGCTTGAGTGGATGATCAGATGGTCTGAAAAAAGACTTCTCTGTGGTTCAAATAAACAAGATTCCTTAGAAGAGATTCACCCAATCATACGTATAAAAACATCAGCTGCTGCTGTTCTTACTTCTTTGTGGCTTTTAGAAACAAAGAGCATAAAATGTAAGGTAAGAAAGAGGATGGGATAAGTGTCAATGAAATGTGTGAGTGAGTTAGAGCAGTAGAGAAAATCACACCCATATTTTACCTAAGAATTCTGTTCTCAATAAAACCTGGAATATTGATTAAAAGCCTTCCCTTTAAGGTTTGCTAGGAAGAGAGAAACATTCCACAAATACTGGAATTCTGGCTGTTAAAAATCCATGGCTTGAAGGTGAAAGTTCTGTTTGGAAGTTCTATTAAAAATCTAAATCATTTATCGAGATCCTGCATTATTTGTATAAGTTCATTTAAGTTTGGCCATTGTGTCTAATTTTAGACATCATCTTTGAAGAAACATAGTACTGGAGATAGAATACGTCAAAGCAAGGCAAAGAATAAAATAGTTTCTCTGAGGAGACTTCAGTTTAGGTTCACTTGTCTTTGAGGACGGTGCAGATGCAGTCTTGACTGGAATATTTAAACTAGTTAAAGATAGGTGGAAAGTGAATTTTGAATTTCATTTTAGCACTATTACGCAGAGTTGAAGTTTATGTGTGGATAGGAGAAAAGAGATTTGACAGAAGAACCTGATGAATACTGCTGTAATTTATATTTTAAAGAAAACTGGATCACTTAACTGCTTTAATTAGCTCTACAAGAATCATAGAATACCCACGAATCACAGAATACATAGGGGAGAGAGCTGTGGGATTTTTTTGCGAAGGCTTTCTCCCATATCAAAAGAGATTTTTGTCTTGATTTTGGTTAGGGTTTTGGTTTTTTTTTTGGTTTGGTTTCTTTTGGGGGGGGTTGGGTTTTTGTTTTTTTTTCCTGGACAAGTGCCACCTTTATTTTAAACTTACAGCCAAAATTTTACGTGTGCATCTAACCACAAGATCATGCATGGGTTTTTGCCTTTCATACTGTTTTCAGTGATAATTCTAGAGTTCTGTGTTAAGTGTGATAATGGCTAAATCTTATTATATGTACTTGTTTAGGATATATTGTCACGTAGTATCCTTGACAGCTGGCACTCAGTTGACACTTATAAATCTTTTGTTTCCTTGGGTAATTCGTAGGACCATTGCTTCACTTAATGCAAAAAGGGGCAAAAACTCAGGTTCCACAGACAACTGTAAATCCAGGATTTCTCAGTTCTATAATAAGGAGAAGGATATGAAGTTAAGCATAAACATTCCAGATGACATTATTGGGGATTTTGAGAAGTACAAGGTATCTTTTTTTTTAATTAGTGAATTTTGATTATCATGACTTCTATTAATAGCATCCAGATAATCAGTGTCTGGAAGAATTTGCACCTCTATCAGAAGCCCAGTTCAGGACAGAGAAAGAAAGTAGCACAGATGAAGGCTCTTCCATAACGGCCAATCCTCCTCCTGACACCCAGGATGTACAAGCCTATGATGATCTTTGTGAAATGGATTTTGGGTAATTTCATTTTTATTTTTTTTTCACCTAGTAATTCTAGTTGCTCTAATTCCTCAGCTAAGCAGCATGTCAGGATGAAGATTTCTACTGCTATTATATCTTACATACGTGTTTGATTTTGAGTGCAATAGTGACATGCCTATTGTAACCTATTGGTTACAGCTACATACAGCAGATTAAATATTCTCTATCAACAGGGTTACATCTAGGTAGAAAACAATGTCGCTGTTGCATATATGGTTGTTTATAGACTTAGTGATGAAATAGAATCTCAATTTCCGATACAGTGGGTAGAACGTCTTCTCACAAAATTCAGATAATTTCCATTCTCTGTCCTGTAATTTTCTTTGCGTTGAAACAAGATGTTCACAATGTTAATTTATTTTTCCCTGAACCTGTAATCTAGCTATGTTCGCAATGTTAATTTATTTTTCCCTGAACCTGTAATTTAGCTATGTTCATACATTTGTTTGCCAGAAAAATAGATGGTAAAGGCAGTAAATATTTGTTCATATCTTGCACAGTCCTGAAGGTGAAAAATCATTAACCCGAACTCTGTTGTACTAAAGGAAAAAGATTTCTGCTGTTACAAGATATATAGATATATAGGGATATACAGATCTCTAGTATTCTGAGACATTATTGTGTGTCTTCTCTGACAATTTTTATTTTTTTAATGAAGGAAGTTTCTGTGAAGGAGGTAAATGTAGCCTTAACCAAATGATTTTGAAGTCATAGCACAGTTTGTCTTCATTTTTGGTAGATAATGTGTGTTAGTTGCATTTCTCTATGAACACCAGAGTGAATCATTAATGTCACTAGAATATCACATCTACATAAAAAGTAATTAAGCTTGCTTTAAGTGAAAGTTAGAGATAAATCTTACATGAGCATTGATTATATCACAACAGTGTTTATTTTACAATTATGCCCTAGCCTGCATTCTGAAGGGAACAGCATCCTTGAACTAAGCCAGATACTTACTTTGTTAATTACCTTTTGTAATTCCGTTGCCAGAATGTCTACAAAGCCAAAATATTTCGATAAGAAGGAAATTAATCGTGGAAATTATTCTGTACCTCTTATGAGTGAAGATGTTAATGAAGTGGGACCATTTGTT